TAACTGGCCCTCGATCTTTAAGTTAAAGGTGCAGGTTAAGGCACAGAGGAGGTTATAGGCAGCAGACCTGGAACAAAGCAACACAGGATGTGTGAGAGTTTTCTTGAACACTTGAAATACACAAATCATCACAGTAGCAGTACTGACATCTAAAAAAGAAAATCAATGCTGCTGTGTTAGAAATTACATCTAAATCCTGAACCTCCGAAGAGGTTACAGGCTGTGTGTGAAGGGCACTGCACTGGGATTCTCGGAATGACTTGCAGTTCCAGGAATCCAGAAGCATCCCAGGTGCACCTGAGCTGCTGGGACTGCCCAGCAGTGCCCTGGCCAGCCCCCAGCCCTGGGGAGCCCGTTCTGGCACGACCCGTGAGGCTGCTCTGAGGGGCACAGCTCACCACCGTGGAAATCGTTATGTACCCAGCCAACAGTGCAAGGCAGATTTCCCCTTGGAATGGGAATTCAAGCTTCCCACATGCCTTCAGCTCCTCAGACAGCATGTGCCTTTCTCCACCCACAGAATCCCAACATGCCTATACTGAAAGTCACATTTTATGGAGCTGTGGTGGCAGAACAAGTGATTTGTCCAGGACAGATTTTCTAACACTAAGGAAGCCTTGGAAAGCCTTTCCACATGTGACCCCAGCTGGCATCACTTTCCAAGCTGTGTACCTCAGGCTGGGGTCTGAGCTCCCCAGGTTGAGCAGTGCTATGTTCAGCAGCGTTCCAGGGACATCCTTGGGACGGATTTTGGTGTGCTGGGGGATGGAGTCAGGCTGGGACAGCTCCCACCGTGTCCGTATGTGGATGATGGACCTCACGATGGCCTCACACTCCTGGTGCATGAAGGTGAGTGGCGTGCCCTGGTTGGCAATGGTCAGGGTAAACTGGTTCTCATCAACCAGACAGATCTCCTCAATCTCAGAGGCATAGTAAATGTCGTTCAGAAACACTGTCTGGCCCAGGACTCGGGTTCGCTCTGCTGACGTCACCTGCACAGCTGTCGACCCAACCTTGCAAGGAGAAGAGAGAATCAGTTCAACACTACTACTGAGCACACACAGAGAGAGAAGTGACACTTCCAATTTTATAGGAGATACGTGTGGGAAATTTTATAATCCCCAAAAAGGGCTCACTAAGAGCGTTGTGCTTTCTCCTCAAGGCAGGGGAGGAGAATTAAGAGACAGCAAAATCATATTCCAATCCTTATAAAAATATCACTAGGAGCAGCATTAAAAGCACTTACTTTAATAGAGACTTTGGTGTCTTTATGAGCCAGTTTGAGAGCATTGTGAAACACTTTCAAGTTCTCCTCCAAAGCCAAGGTAGCTGCTGGGAGTTTCTGCTGGTCGTGTTCGATGTGCTCTGCCAGTTTCCCTGTAGAGTCTATGAAAACAAGCCTTTTGCTTCCTTTCAAACCTGTCAAGAGCCTTTCATGGTATTTGGTGTATTCTCTGACCCAAGAGTTACAGTTATAAATAAAAACTGCTGCGACATTTTCATAAGCAAAGCCTGGAAAAACTACAAACCATTTGGAAAGAAAGTCTGTTTTAAAGCGATTACTGGGGCCAGCGTGGGTGAGGTCCACCACGATTTCATATGGCTTTGCATAGTATGGCTTCAGGGTCAGCAGCACGTGGTAGATCAGCAAATCCCCGTTGATCTGACCCGTCTTGAACCTGTGAGGAAAGACAGACATCGCTGGGGTTACACTCAGACCCACAGCACAGACACCTGGGGCTGCAGGCACACAGGAGAGGTGAACCACACTGATCCCCCGGGGGCTCCACACTCCTCAGGCACAGCAGAGACACCACACTGCACCTGCCCCTGCTCCTCCACGGCTCCTGCCCAGCCTGTAGTGCTCTGAATGATGGAGCTTGACTTGGGCTTCATCCTGAAGTGCCCCACAGCCTCCCACAGCAGTGACCTCCAGGTCTGTACAGCTGAGAGAAAAATCAAACCCAGGCTGGAACAGCATCAACTGCATTGAAACTGGATTGCATGGAAAGTGCTCCGAGCTGCTTTAAAACGACAGCTATAAACCTCTCTAACTTTGAAACCACATTAGATTCAAATGATATCTGTTTTTGAATGTGGAAAAGTGTATTTATTTCAGGAGACAAGAGACGTTTTCCCCCCGTTACTTCCTGTTGCTCTGAGGGCTAAGTTGGGCAAGTTGGTGCTTTCCCCGTCCCGTGTGCTGTGTAGCTCTACCCAGAGGAAATGTGTCATCACTGTGGTTTTACTTCTCCCCTCTGCACCAACGACATGTCATTTCAGTTACAGATTTGCTTAAACAATATCAGCTTTGCCCAAACCTTCTGCTCCCCAATGGCCAGTTGCATCCCAAGAGCAAACATATGCACAAAGAAATCATATTGCTAAAGGACTAAACACCTGAAACACCCATTTTCTGTTGACTACACTGCAAGGTAAGTGCACATTTTCCTTCTCCTATTTTAAGTTGCACTGTGAAGTTTCTTATATTTTGTAGAAAATTATACACAGAAGTGTTTTTAAAGAGGTTTGAGTGACTCAAATATAGTAACAGACCGAATCAAGGAGGCTGATAAACTGTATTTTTAGTCATGTTAAAGGTTGTTCACCATCTACCCCAAGCAATCAGCAGTGACAGTCACCACTGAGCTCTGCTGTTCCTCACTGCAGATCTGGCTGGGTGCTGAGACCCTGTCACTACCCAGGCACAAAGGGTCGGACTGAAAGGAGAAACAGTTCTTTAAGGATCAGTTTCTTTGCGCTCACGATTTCAGGCAAAGCCCTTCCCAGCAGACTGAAAGGAGAAACAGCTCTTTAAGGATCAGTTTCTTTGCGCGCACGATTTCAGGCAAAGCCCTTCCCAGCCTCGGCCTGTTGATTTTGAAGCACATCTGGTGCAGAGCAGCACAGGGGACAGTGGCTCAGTGTGCTCTGGGGCAGCAGCAGAGCTGCACTCCTTGCCCTGCTCTGCTTTACCTCAAGTGCTGCTTGCCCCAAAAATGGGCTTTGCTGGGGCTTTTCTCCCTTTTTAAAGTATGCTCCAAGGCATCATCCAGGTGACTTCTACCACAGACAGAGACAAAACCTGCTGGTTTGAGCTTGTTATCCCAGAACCAGACTGACCCAGCTCTTGGTTTCCTGCCCTCCAGACAAACGCAACAGGTACAGATCTGGATACCACACAAATGTGAAAGAGAACATACTAATGGTTAATCTCATTTGCATCATTATCTCAGGCATTTTAAAGCAAATGTCACAATCTGTAGCGTGTTTGGGAGAAAAATATGAGAAGTACATTCGTGAGAAAAAGCTTTTTGCACAAAAAGGCAGAAAAATTGGAGAACAAAGTTTCTACTGGGCATCTGAAGTACTCTAGGCAGCTGTGCTAGGAGAGAAACAGCTCCCACAGGCTCCTGTTCAGTTACAGGAACACTGGGGTTGAGGGGGTTCCCTTGCCCATCTGTGCCAGCAGTGGCTCTGCTGCCCACGCCAGGGGAATTCAGGGCAGCAATCTGAGCCTGACACAGGTTCCTCACTCGCTGTGCAAGGCAGAAGTGATGCCCTCAGAGTGCACCAGGGACAGCTTCAGAGAGAGGAACCAGCACACTGCCCCGACACCGCTGAGCTGGCAGCAGGGAACACCCTCCTACTTTGCTCCACGTTCTTTTGTATCCTCCATGTGTGTTTTATAAATCTCAAACTGCCAGAAGTCGGAGACAACCTATTCCTTCACAACACGAACTGCCTGAACTCCTCCTGCTGCAGCCACTAAAAGGAGGCCAAGTTACATGCACTTTTCATCACAAAGGCTGCTGCCTGCTACTCCCTGACAAATCCAATCCCCTGAGAACCCATTTGCTAAACTAACACCATCACTTGTATTTTTGCAGGGTGCTGACTAGGAAGATGAAGACAAAGAGACACAACAAACCACACTCGGCCTTCCCCATGATGATAATCCTTTCCTTGTGTTTGCCAACGGGTGGGAACCACACCAATTACCCTCGGGTTAGAGAGGAGACCTGGAATCCCATCAGCCAAAACCTCAGTGGGAGCCAGAACACAACAGAAGCCAATACAAATTCTCCTTTGAGCATCAATATCAGCAGCAAAACAACTACTTTTGAAGGGCAAAGTACCATGCAACCCTTCTCCACAAGGGCCCAAAATCCAACCTCTTCCCCTGCAGTTTCCACCACTGCAGGACCCAGGAATATCAGCAAACCCAGGAGTCCAATGACCAAAGAGACATGTGAAGACAGTAAGTCTCTCATACTGATCTGCTTCATAATCATTGCAGTACTTGTGCTTGTCTGCACCTTCCTATTTCTGTCCACAGTCATCATAGCCAACAAAATGTCCTACCTCAAAAAATCTCAGCAAGGGAAGCGCAGGCCCCGGAGCAACGGTGACCTTGTGGCCACCAGCAGCTTGTGGCCAACGGCAGCAGGAACGTGGCAGAGGATGCCCAAGGAGACAACAGGAACTGAGCTGACAATGCAAGATTTGCTATCAGGGAGGGACACCACAAACCGCAGGAAGACTGAAGATGAATCTACTGAGAAACTCACTAAAGCAATAGAGAATGAACAGGAAAGCAAAGAACCATCACAGCCAAACAAACCAGTTTTAACCAATTTTGTAGTTGAGATTTAATTCACACTCAGGTAAAAGTTTGTCTTTGCGTTTTGTACATCATTAGTGTCAGGCAAAACCATGAATTTTCCCACAGGAAAGCTAAATTCAGAGCTTAGTCTTTCCTTTTCTGCCAGTGGCAATGCTGCAGCCACGTGTGGATCTGGTGTCAAACAGCTTTCTGTAAGGAGTGTCAGGACTGGTTTTACTCATTTGCCCAGAAGTCATGGTGACAAGAGTTGGGCAGGGTAAAACTGGAGGGCAGAGTCTGCCCATGCTCAAAGACCATGAGAGGGAAGAAGGGAATGGACTGTTAGTCTGACAAATACACCAAAACCATGAGGAGCTGTACAAGTATAACCAAGTTGCTCTTTTAAGAAAACCACACACCAGTCACAACTCCAATTCAAGCACTGAATCAGGACCTAACCCCTCTCAAAATGCCCTTTCAGGTTTTCCCATCAAGAACTTCCCAACCCAACTGAATTACTTTGTAACCACACCGAGATTTGAACCATATTTATTGTGTTTCAATGCTGTGTGTGAATGGATGAGGATTGTATTGTTTGTTAGAATGTGAGAACTGTTTCCATTTGTTATCTTCAATAAACTTGGAGCATCAGTTTTTAAATAACTTGAGTTATGTGATACTGTTTCTCTAAATCAAAATATCAGAAACAATATGGCACAAGGCACTTGGAATGTCATATTCCTATAGCATCAGCTGAGCTCAGTAAAGGTCTCTGATGAGTTGCCGTGATTTCTGGTATCACAGAAACACACTCCACTTTCTCCCAACACCAATTAGAACATACCAAAAATGTAAACCCACGACTTTTAGCTTCTTTATGCTCAGAACCCAGATTTTCTCACAGTTCTGGGGAGATGCCTGTGCCTGCTCTCCCTGCAGCAGAGCTTTGCTAGTTTAAGGAAATATGAGAAGCTCCTCACAACCTTCTTCTTGGGTTGAGGAAGATCTGTTGCACCACAGTCAAAGGTGCTGAGATTGTACAACGTCAAAGCTCCAAACATCCTGAGCAGCTGTAGCAAACAGCTTTGACACAAGATGGTTCTACGAGTTTGAAAGAACCAGGACATGAGTGAATGCCCAACTCCCATCCACCAGCTCACACATTCACCTGGCTGAAAGGGAAGCACAGAGCAGCAGGGGCAGGACAACAGCACCACGGCAGCCCAGAGAGCAGGGCCCCAAAACTGCATCTGCCTGGCTCAGAGGTGCTGCGTGTGGTGAGGACAGCGAGGCTGGAAGAAGCTTAGCCTAGAACTGTCATTAGAAAGTAGTCATTAGTCACTAGAAAGTAAGTTCATTTGAGACTGGAAAATAGAACAACCATGGGCAAATTCCCATGAATCTACTGTAAACCACAGATTCAGACCCAGGAGCTCCAAGGGTGAATCCAGCACGCGAGGGGAATGGGAGGGCAGGGGAGTATCTCAGGCATCTCCAGCACATGAGGAAAAAGGCCAGGAGAGGAGCAAGGTGACACTGGGACAGATCAGTGATGACAAGCCAGTTCCCCAGAGCAGATGAACTGAGAAGTCCTCACACTGTGACAGAGCCAAAGGGCAGGGCTGGGGGATGCTGCACTGCAGTCACCTTCTCCGTCCCCAGAACGACCACAGGCAGCAGCAGCAGCAGCAGAGGCTGTGCAAGGACTAAAAAAAGACTCCGAGACAGCCAACATGAACATCTAACCTGCAGTAAAACTGCTCCCAGCTGGGGAGGAAACAGCACGGAGCCAGGAGAAGGGATCTGCACGGGGCAGCCAGCCTGGACAGCCAGGCAATGGGCAGCTGGGCAAAGGAACAAACCAGCAGTGCCAGGAAGGCAGCAGGAGAAAAAGGAACGAATCACGACCATATCAGTGGAAGGAAGGAAAAACAGGAAGGAAAAAGAACTGCCAGTGAGGTGGGAACTGTGACGAAAGATGGGTGTGGGCTATGAGGCTTGAAGAAAATGGGGAAGATGAAGAAATCAGAAACAATGAGTTAGTGTGAGCATGGGATTAGGATGTGTGTTTGCTGCAGGGGAGCCTCAGAAAGAGAAGCAGTACAATCAGAAGAGAGACTCTACAGGAAAGGCAGGAGGAGATGAAGAAACTGCAGAGGAATCTGTCTGTAGTCACTGGCAGAATGCAGTGCCATGAGGCAAAATGCCACGAGGACACATTTGGTGTTTCTTTTTGCTAGGCAGCCTGTCCAGACAGAAACGCTCAAGGAGACAAGAGGAGTTTGGGTTGCAGTGCATGGTGTGGACCATGACAGGCAGTGGGAAGCACCTGCTCAGAGCACAGCCCTCTGCTGCTGATGGCAGCAGGTACCAACATTGCCCACACAGAGAAGGTGTCAGGGACAGGACAAGGGCACAGTCTGTAGGTATCTGTCTCCTGATGAACCACTGCAGATGTGCCAGCAGCCAGCACCCTGTGATCAGGCAGCTTCCTATGACTCACTGCAACGAGCACAAGTTGCTTTTCCACTGATGGTCCTGAGAGTGCACCAAAGTCACCACTGAAAGCATATCAGTGATTCAAATCTAACCCAAATTTGCATGGTTTTTGACTCACACAGAAGAAACTGCAACTATTTTCCACCAAGACTGGCCAACAATTATTTATGAAGTTCCACGTAATACACACGCACACCAGGGAAAAGCCACAAGCACATTTTCATAAAACCCAAATACTGACAATAGAGCCGAGTTTGCTCACAGAGCACTCAAACCCTGCGACAAGGCTCCGAGCTCCCCACTCTTGACACTTCCTGCAGCAAGTGTTGGCAAACTTCCTCTTTAGCTGCACAGACTTCAGCATGAAACGAGCCATTTTAAGCTGCCTGACTCTGAGCACACAGCCTGTCTGCCTGAGGCTTCACACAGCAAAGTAAGGGGATGCCTGCTTGAGAAGAGAAATGCACAGGTAAGAATCAATCTCCAGACAGAAAAGCTCAGTGTCTGTACTATTTGGGTTGAAAGGGAACTGCAGCAGGTTCAGCACCGTGTGTGTCCCAGCTTGGGGTGTGTTCAGAGCTCTTGTTCCAGGTCTGTATAGTAAAAGCAGGAGGGTTTCACTCATGTTGCTTGGGGCTATTTCTATGAACCAACATGAGCTCTACAGCCAAGTGCTATTTGACTCTATTATGCGAAGAGCTAAGCAGAAAAAAAATGCAGTTGAGTCGTTTCAGCCTGCTACAAACCTTACAGAGATTAAGCCATGAGGCTCTCAAGACACATTAATTTACTACTCATATGTGTTTACACTGCTGCATTTAAAATTTCGTTTTGCATCTCTGTAAACCTATAAAGCCTTGTGAATATTCATTTCCCAGAAACAGCTTCACAGGACTAACACCAGAGTAACTAACGACTTTGCTCAAATTGCATGTAAGTAACTTCAGAAGGCAAACTGCAGTGTAGGGGTCAGATTTTACATCACTTACTTCACAGAGACACTCAGAGATCTGCACTCTGATCAGCGCAGGGAAAAAGCTGTTTCACGTCAACAGCTTTGACTACATTTGCCCCATTTCTTCCATTGCTCCATGCAGGAGTTTATTTATGAAGCAGTTTACTGTTAGAATGTGGTTCTGGTACAGCATCAATACTTGGAAAACTCCTAAATATTTTGCTATGCTGAAGAGACATGAGAACAGGAAATAAAAGTTTAAAAGAACTGTAAAGAGCCTTTTAGTTCGGTCACAACAAGCCATTTCTTCACTCCAGACAAGCCTGTTTGCCTATGCTGCTGCCAGTGCTGCAGCTTGTTCTAGGGCCATAACCAGGTACAAGATTGATAAAGGTTATTTCCAAACCCTGTTAGGGCTGCTCTGCTTGGACCTTTCTCTGCTAAGGTGAAAAAAGACAGTTACAATCAAGACATTCTCTTCAAAAAAGTCACTTAAATTAGAGCAGTGAGTAAGGCTGGAAGTGTGCTGTTCTTTGTGAAGTCAGTGACAAACCTGCTGACCAGGCAGATAAGAATGGGCTTGAAATTTGAAACACTGGGTCAAGTGCTATTTCCACTACGATAGTACCAACATAAAACTTGTGGCAGTAAAGTGTAACCACACAATAAGTGCAGCTTTCTAACACACCCCCCTGTTCTGTTCCTGCCCTCAGCAGGAGAGGCTGGAGGGAAATGGGCAGCAACCAGGTCATACTGGCTCTCTTCTGTGGAGGAATCTGGAAATCCCTTTCTACAGCAGCAGCTCAACAGGTATCCATGGCCGAAAGCAACGCGTACAGCAGTGTCAGGAGCCCAACAGCAGACACAACTCCTCCCTACCAGCTGCAAGCAACTGGGCCCGGTTTGCAGGGACCTGGCAGAGCACCCCAGGGCCCCACAGCAGAGGGAGGTGCTGGCGATGGCAGCTGGACAGCAGCACTGATAATTGGCATCATTCTGATCAGTATGGTAACAGCCATCGCCGCCATCCTCCTGTGGAAATGCTGCACGAGGCCTGTGCTGGCTGACACACACTGGGCAGGCAGGTCTCCCTTCGCAGACGGCGACACACCAGATCTCTTCGCAGACTCTGACCATGATACCAAGCGTTCATCGGTTTTATTTATGTTGCCTTGGAAGTTGAAACAGGACACAAACTTACAGCAGGATCCCACTGGATCAGAGAACCCATCCCACCACCCTGGCAGTCCCGCCGGCCCGTGGAGCCAGCACGGCAGCTCCCAGCACAGAGCCACCTCCAGCGCCTGCCCCGGAGCCAGGGAACGCCGCCGGCGACCTCTGTCCTCACCCATCTCCACCCGAGGGCCCTG